AGTGCTACCGCACTAGCGTATAAACCCCTACGTAAAACCTGTAAGCGCGTGTTTGAGCCTGCAAGCAAGGCTGTCAACTTAATTCCTCATCCTGGTTGGCTCCAGACGTGTGATTGAGATCGGTCTTCTACGAGTGTTGAGCCTGAGTAGTGAGTTGTAGGGGAAGATAACGACAGTTGAAGAAGGTTGCTTATCTATTTGCTAAGTTTTTGCTTAACAGAGACTAGTATTAGCCGTTCTAGTGGTAATTAATGCTTCAGGTGTTGCTTGGGGTCTGGTCCGGGTTAGTCGAGGGGGAGACAGTACCCGTTCGTGACGCTCCATTGTAAACGGGGGCCGTGGTTTGGACGCGACTTGTTGCATACACTCCCCCCCCTCCTTGTCTCTGACACTGATGAGTTTCATGGCCCAAGACAGGTCAGAGTATATGATGTGTGCCTACCTCGCTGCCTGAGTATATTGTGAATGCATGCATTGCCAACAATTTAGAGCAAACTTCACGACTTCTTCAAATCTTCACAGTTGTCAAAATGCTCCGGTGCTCAAAATTCTGTTTTGCGAGCGACTTTTATCACCTCAAGAAAAAAATTGTATGGGAACACTTGGGTGCATCATCAGAAAGCACCTAGGGTCTTGGGTACGCATTGGTGGGCAGAGATCAGACAACAAACCATGTACAACGTAATGAATGTGGAAAAGTTTCTGTTTGAATCCTCCATATCCTATAAATGACCCTCAACTAGGTTGGTTGTGCGTAAAGTTGGCGAGTGGAGCGGATACGTTCCTACCATAGTCATACAACAAGGACCGTCACGGTACTTGGGCAGGCAACTCACTTTAAGAGCAATCCTTGGACTATTTCAGCAGGTGCTTAGCTATAACCTGGGTTGGTATAAAATGGCAGTCGAGACCAGCAGCTGCCGGTTGATTCTCGGAGGGGAGTCTAGGGACTTTCGACAGAAAAGTCGTGTGCCTTCCTTGAAAGTTGCATAGGGGGTGAGAGTCCCTCTTTCCCACACTGACCCCATTTTTTCTCCTTTACTCCGCTTGAGCTGGGCGTGAAAGAAAAAGGCGTAGAAAACATGAGGGAAGCAGAGGTACTAGTGGTCAAAAGCGTTATCAATTGAGACAGGTATGAGGGTTGGGGAACGAAAGTCATCCGAAACATGGAACCCACCAGATCCATTCAGAGGGATATCGCAGTTTGTACAATCAAGGAGCACAAATACGTTGAGTACGTGTTCTTCTTTCATGATTTGAATAGCAGATTACACAACACCGACTCCTTTCTAAAAATTGTATGCCCTCTTTTCAGAGACTTCATCAGCAAAGCAGCCAGCGAACTTTATGCCCCGCATCTAATAGTCCAAACCTAAGGAATTAATAATCAATTGTACTACAGTCACAAACATCTATATCACCTTCATATGACAACATTCTCAGCATTCCACCACTGAGTGACCAGTGTGCAATGACAACATTAGTTCATCTGAGTTATTGCAAAGCATCAGTTAGACTCAATCAGGGGTTCAATTATTTTCACTTGTCTCAAGACATACAGACAGTGCCTTCTTCCATAAACATTGTTTTAGTTTCAACTTCTACTTCAGCACATGAGTACAGTTCCGTCGTTCTCAGTCTAGGAGGTTGTTATGGCGGCCCTCAACAGGATTGCTTCAAAAGATGTTTTCCTACATCGGTATGTCAGTGCAGCCGGTTTGAAACAAGAGGACTTATCCATCTATGTAGTCCACACTGAGTTTGCAGGAGGTGTCATCCATGACTTCAGGGCCTACTTGAAGAATGATCAGGAAACTCACGAGCACTTCGAATCAGATTAGAGCTCAGGAGCCACGCATCTTGAGGGGAAAGAGAGGAGGTTGGACGGGAGTGAAGTGAAGCTGATTCGTAGCCTTGGACCAAAGCTCTACACTGACTAGCCCAGGCCCAGGCCTCCAGTACCCTTCACTCTCACGGATGACTCTAATTGCGGTGATCTGGTGAATCTAGCCAAGAGGTACATTTCGCCTACAGTGATTGATTATGAGGCGGTGACTGAACCATCAGAGTTCCAGCATCTCAGACGAGGGATTTTCTCTCAGCCATATCTTCCTACTCTATGGAAAGAGTTTATGGTTGATTTTCGTGTTATGAGACTCGGTTGGAAATGTTTAGAACTAGCAAGCTTCAAGTGACTCTACATCGAGAGAGCACAACCTCAAAGGGTACGGAGACTAGGCCGAAAGCACAAGAGATATGCAGCAAAATGAGAGATTGAGTGTGAAATTCAGAGCGTTGAGTGAGGACTCTTGACTAGTGTTGATCATGCTCTCTACATGTGTACTCTCTGAGATTATTTTGAGTTCTCATTCTTCCCTCATTTATCTTGCCTTTGCCCGAGTCAGTCAGTCTTGCTTCTTTTGCATTGCCTTTACTTGATGATTGCATTTTCTCATGATTCTGTCACAGTTCTCAAAGCAAAAAAATTGGCAAAATTGATGCATGCATGACATATTAGACCTTTATGATTATTACTTGCATAACTTGCTGTTCCAAATCAAAATAAAAGATTAATAAGACCGGGGACCGGTGAAGACTGCAATTGAAGGGTCTCGCTCGAAGCCGGACGCACACAACAGGAAGGGATTTGCTTGATTTAACTTATTTTATTTATTGCAAAGATCATCCAAAATCTTGCGTGACAGTCTGTTGGCTTTCTTGTTGCCCTAAGAGGCCTAACTGGAAAAAGTGCGACAAAAATAGCGCCGTTGCCGGGGACATGAAAATTTTCGTGTCCGGAACGAGCCTGGGTTAGTAACAACTTTGAGCTTTGATTAGGATATTAGAAATGTTGACAATGTCTGAATTTTCAAATTGACTTTAACATCTTGAGTGAGTCATTATTTTATTGGAAGTTTTCAGTCGTTAATTGGGTCTTGTTTCCTCATGTGTGAGGTACCACACCCACACTGGACCGGAGAAGGAGGCTGACGTTATTCCTTGGAGAGGATCATGCTTGATCGCAGGTATGCCTTATGCTTGATCGTAGCACCACGGGGTGTTACTGTCCACCAGTTCACCCGTGAGCATCCCTTTAGCCACAGCACTGGGGTCCAAACCAAACTTCAAGTTGGCCAAGGTAGGATCCTCTGGATCCTTGACCGGGTCAAATTGCTCAATAATTTTACCAAAACCTTTCTCAATGCCGGATATGATAAACATTGAAGCAGCATCAAGGGAAAAACGCAACGCCATGACCCAGTAAGCCTTTTTCTTGTCCTCTTCTCTCTAAGACTTCTGTTCCCATTTCTGCTTTTGGTAACCATTTTCTGAGCAGAATTGTATAGAGTTGGTTATTTTCTCTGAATTTTGTCATTCCTTTCCTTATCATCCAATCATAAGTCCCTGGGTCTTTCGCCACATACGTGAGTTGGGCTTTACCTTCATTATGAGACAGTCCTCGAAGGGTGAGGAGTTTCTCCTCATCCATGAGAGAGTCTTCAATTGAACGTATCAAGTCCAACTTTTTGTCATTCGGGAGGTTCTTCGCTGCACCTTGGAAGAGGATAGCCATAGTCCGTTCTTTCAAGAACTTGTCTTTTCCGTGGGGCGAACCTCTAGACAGTCGTCTTCCTCGTCGGTCGAGACATCTATGTAATCAGACACGTCCTGGTAGGTATAGAGTTCAAATACCACCCCTTTACCATGTTGGTAGGTATGTCCGTGTCCGTGGACGATGCCTGGCCTGATGCGCCACAGGGGAGTGTTGGGCTGCATCACCCCCTGAGGGCTCCACCCACTGGCAGTCCCTTTCCTAGAACGGGGGGACTCGGGTGAACAACGAGTAACAGGACTTAAGGGAAAAAAAAAAAAAAAAAAAAAAAAAAAAAAAAAAAGGTAGGACATGATGCAGGTGTAGAGAGTACTTTCTCACAAATGGTGTCTTTTATTGTGAGGACCCGGCCTCGATATTGATGATTGTTTTGAAGAATATATGAGACCTGTTTTGAGGGGGGGAGGGGGGGGGGGGGAATAAAAAAAATGGTGTCTTTTCGCTGACTTCTAGATAGAGTTGTAGAACTGTACCAGTAGGGGGCTGACGCTACTAACCGCAGAGGTAAGAGAGCTACTAAGATGCTCTCTTTCTCTGGTGTGAAAATCAATCCTGTGTATAGGACGAACAACTAGGGGTCATTATGTGATACCCCGACGGTCCCCCGTTGCTGCTGGGGCTCCATACCGGGTGACCCGAGTTGGCGAGCTGCAGCACTGTGGTGAGTCAATGTTGTTAACAATTTTAATAATATCAGATTTGTCAATAAAGATAGATACTAATGAATAGGGATGAACCTTATCCCGAAAAAAAATGAAAATGAAAAGAATGTCAATAATAACGAACACAAGAAATGAGTAATCATTATGATGAATTGATGATCACCATAAGCAATCAAACTAAGGGGCTCGTTAGACACTCCTCGGGCGCTAAAAAATCCCGAGGAAATGATCGTTCCATCTGTCCTCGGAGAGAGTTCCTTGGAAACCGATGTGAAAACATTTCCTCGGGGCGTCCTCGGGCCGTCCTCGGGCTACAGGCATTTGGCTGTGCTCCCCAAGGTACCTCGCGAGGTCCCTCGGAGTGGGAGTTTCCGCGAAATTCGGGACGGCGACGGCGCTCTTCGACGATGTCAGAATTTTGTAGTCTGGTACATTGCTGGTCCAGCCGAGGTGCGGGCGGACATTGGCGGCCGGCAACGTTCGACTCCGGCGGGAACGACCGCAACGGTAAGGTTGGGTGGTGGACGGGGTCCCTGGCCGTTGCCGGTTTATCCCGGCCCCTCACCAGCGCCGGCGGGAAACGGGAAGGCCTCCAAAGGCCAGCCGCTTCGAAAATGACAGCGGTGCACGTCCGTCACCGCGCGCAGTGGTCCGCAATGTAAAGCGGCAGAGGGCGTCGGCAGCCGTGTGCTTGTCGTTTGCGGTTTGCCGCCGTCTCGGTAGACGTTACGTTGTCGTGCGTTGTCGTCGTTAGTTGCCCTTGCGAGAACGGTTGTGTTACATGGCCGACGTGCTCCGCAAGCTGCCGCTGGTCCTCCTCGTCATGATTCTGCTTGTAGTTGTCGTCTTTGTTCAGGTGTGCATATTGGGGAGGTTGCCTTCACGTACTCGCAGGAAACAAGGGGTGAGGAAGAGCGTGGCCATGGACGGGCGGCGGCCGAATCTTGCCACGTTGTCGGACACTTATCCCAGCCACCGGCCTGCGATCTGCACCGGTGTAGATAGAAGGGCGGCAGGTCCGTCGACGTACGAAGGACTCCCGCCTCACATGCAGCCTCTGCCCGATTCGGACGAGGGGGAGGCGGACGTGGACGTGTCCAACACAATTCCGCTGGGTAGCGGGTCGACCCAGGAATGGACGGGTAGCCAGTTGTTTGATGGGCGCGGAGCGAAGTACAGATAGTCGTTCACTTCCCTCCTCCACGAAGGTGCCCAGGAAGAGGAACACCTCCCCCCTGTGGATCTCACATTTGGCCTGCGGAGCGGGAGCCCATCTTCTGCCACGCGCACTGTGCTCGTGAACCCTCATCCCGACGACGACGTGGGGCAGGTGACATTGGCCGGCAGGGGCACGAGGGGTGGTTCTGCGCGTCAGGAGACTTCCGAGAAGACGAGGGAGCGGCCTCGAGTGCAGGCGACTTCTGGCCCGTCAATTCCACGCACCACCCCTGGTCGCCCTGAGTGGATGAACCCCCCTCCTGCGTTCTCCAGGGGCCACGACAACGTTCCTCGTCTAGTTGAACGGGGTGTGAGTGCCGAAGACTTCCCTTTCGAGGGCGCGCGTGGAGATGGCAGGCGGGTATGGAAGGAGTCGAGGCAGGAGTTGCGGCGGCAGCAAGAAGAGTCCATAACGCAAGGTGTGCAGCGATTACACGTGGGCGAGCGGGCCGGGCAAGCAGACGTGGTTGGCGGGGGGGGCGACGTCTGGACAGGCGGTGACGAAGTTGAGTGCGACGCTGAGGAGGACGACAACGGCGACGTGTTCCCGTTGCGTGCGCCGAACATGGGTGGCAGAGGCAGGGCTTCGACGAATGCAGGGCAGAGGCGGAAGAGGCCGTTGGCGGCCTATGATGATGCGGAAGGTGAGGGGGATGGGGAGGGTGGCCGAAATTTCTGGTATGTGGATCACATGGTGGCCCTCATAAGGGCGAAGCGAGATCAGGACGCCCAGCTGCAAGCGGCGGGGCACGCATCTGCTCGGATGCGGTCGAGGGAGTGGAAATGGTTGGACGTCTGGGAGAGGTTGCTGAAGGTCGGTGTTGACAGGCCGGCAGACAATCGCGGGAAGAAATTGGATAATCTCATGCAACGAGTCAGCAGAGGGCAGATAAAGGATTCAGCTTCAACATGGATCGGGCCGCCTACGAGGAGATCAAAGGGGCGAAGGAGAGGAGCCACACTATCAGCCCGAGCAATGTTGCAGACACCGATGGCGCAGGAGATGTGCAACTCCCATCTGCTCAGTCGGCGACTCCGGAGTCTATGGATGATGGGGATGCCGCTGGAGATGGCAACGACGAAGACGACAGCTCAGCGCGTGGGGCCTCACAGAGGACGAGAAGTCCGGCCGGTTTCGGGAAGAGGAAAAACGTGCGGCAGCAGACATTCAAGGCCTTAAGCGAGTGCATGGAGAAGCATGGGGCGTTGATGGCGTCGACGATGGAGAGCGCGAGCATGAGGCAATGTGAGGCGATGGAGAGCGCGAGCAAGAGGCAATGCTCCATTCAAATTCGGCAGTATGAGGCTATCGAAGCGGAGGTGGAGGTCCAGAAGCAACACTGCACTGCGTCAAATGAAGTTAGCAAGCTTATGTGTCAGGCGCTGATGGAAATAGCGAAAGCTATACGAGAGCGGTAGAGGGGAACGTCAGGCACAGGGCATTTTTCGGCTATGGATGTCACTCTGTTGCGACGCTCGTGTCGTGTACTTAAGTCGGATGGAGTTCATTCGCACTCGTAGTTCATTTCGTTCCATGGGTTTGTTTTCGGTTTGTGTCTGTAGAGTAGTGGCAGATTGCCTGTCGTGCGCGTGCATCTGTCGGTCTGTCCGTCTTCTCCGTGGATTTATTCCATTGTTCATTGTGGAGCGCGGATTGCCCTTGTTTTTGTACTGATTTGTTCATCGCTTCGGACGTAGTTGTAGTGTGCTCGTAATCGGGAGGTGGTCGGGTGATCCGACCACACTGCGATGATGAATTTGGCGGGTATAGGTTCTTGGACGACCGTTTGATTCATTTCTTCAGTTTGCGAAGTGCATACATAGAGAGAGAGAGAGAGTTGGAAATTTGTTATTGTTGGCTCCCATTGCCGAATTTGGCTTCCAGTTTTTGTCACCGACGATGCACTTGTTCAATGTATGTGTTCCCTTGTCCTCTGTGTACTAGTTTGTTAGAGAGAGAGAGAGAGAGAGAGAGAGAGAGAGGGAGAGAGGGAGAGAGAACTTTGATTTGCAATATGGTAGGCTGTTATGATGTGGACGTTTTCTTGGCTCTCTTCATTGCATGATATTTGCTTACCTTGCAGTAAACATGTGTCTCTGGGCACCACGTATTTCGTTTATTGTGTGGTATTGAATGAACATTTCTTTAATCAACGATGTTGCTGTTTATGTCACGTCATTTAACATCTCCCTTGAAAAAGTATCGAAGTTTGAAATTCAATTTGTATGTTGGACTTTCCTTTACTTTTTTTTTTTTTTTTTTTTTTTTCGGGCGTGCGTATCGGACTCCTATGACACGGCCAGTCCCTTCACTGCATTTTTTTTTTTTTTTTTGGGGTGGCGACACATGCAGTCTTCGTTTTTTTTGGGGGGGGTCTGATTGGTGGAATGTCGTATACCCACCGTCCGTGTGTCGGAAAAGGGGGTTGCAAATGGAATGGTCCATCTAGCCATCCCGTTCGCCCTTGTAGCCAACCTGTGCACAGTCGCCGGCGCGTGATGAACATTTGCCACGAACACGATATGACTTGTCCACGCAGGCGGTGGGCAGACGACATCTTCGCGTCCGGACTCCTCGTCGCGCACTGCCTTTGTCGCCGCCATCGCGCAGTCCCGACGTCATCTTCACGCCGCGACAACATTCATTTTCGCGCAGTGTGTGTCTCGCCGCCATCTCTCTCTCCAGACGTCATCTTCACGTTGGGACTCCTGTTCGCGCACTGTTCGTCTCGCCGCCATCTATCTCGACAGACGTCATCTTCACGTTGGGGCTCCTGTTCGCGCACTGTTCGTCTCGCCGCCATCTATCTCGCCAGACGTCATCTTCACGTTGGGGCTCCTGTTCGCGCACTGTTCGTCTCGCCGCCATCTATCTCGCCAGACGTCATATCCACGTTGGGACTCTTGTTCGCGCACTGTGTGTGTCGCCGCCATCTATCTCGCCAGACGTCATCTCCACGTTGGGACTTCTGTTCGCGCAGTGTGTGTCTCGCCGCCATCTCTCTCGCCAGACGCCGTTTTCGCCAGACGTCGTAAACTGTCTTCGACTTCACCTGCGCAGGCTTTCCCTCGCCGCCATCGTTCTCGCCCTTCCTTCTTCTCGTCATCGCAGTCTGTCTTCTCCACGATGACGAATACTCGCAACTCTGGCAAGGGGAAAAGGGAGAGGGACTCCCAGAAAACGGAAGCTGCTGGCGTCGTGAAGCGGGGGAGGCATCAGGCGAAGAAGCTCAAGGCATCAAGCGGCGGTGCTCTGGTGATCAGGAGGTCCGCGCGGGAAGAGTGGGTTGAAGAGGCCAGCAGCGGACAGGACGACGATTTCGAATCGGAGGCGGACACGTTTCATGGGAGGAAAGGGACCTTGCGTGACGTGTCGAACGCGAGAATGGTGAGCGGAGAGGAAGACGTCGACGGTGGTAAAGATGGGGGTCACGGGGTTGCGCGAGGCAAGGATGAGGCGGCCGGCGAAGTGGGAGGCGGTGTTGCTACCAGGGAGGAGCGTGGCCAGCCAACGACGCCTGCCATGCGCGGCGCCGTGCCGTCGAAGGACGTGCAGGCCGCCCAGGACGTAGGTAAACACCCGCCAATGCGGGCGCCTTCAAACCCAGCAACGCCCACGGCGGGACAGGCGAGAAGGGATGAAGGGGCAGGGGTGAATGCGGCAGTCAGGGGACAGCTTGTGACGCGCATTCCCGCAAAGGAAGCCGCAGCGGTGGGAGCCGTCGTTGGTACATCGACGGCAGGCGCGAGGGGGGGCGGTGGCGACGGTCGTGATGATGCTGATGACGACGATCCCCTCATTAACAGGCAGAGGCGATCCGGAAACATGGCGGCTCTGGAGGCGAAAGCGAAACTGTGGGTAGACGATCTGCGTTTCTGGAATGAGATGGAGGGGCATGGGATGGTCAAGATCATCCAGGAGACCCGCCTGCACCTCATCGCCGTCGCAAAGGGTGTGAAACCGCTGGAGATCAGAAAAAGCGTTGTCCTCCCAAACGCCACGATCCCTCAGCAGAAGCTAGAAGACTCGTCGGAGTTGGGGGCCGGGAAGGAGAGGGCTTCGAGGGTGCAAACCATAGCGTTGCACATCATCCATGGGTGGATCTTCAAGTCCCCCAATCGCGCGTGCGGGTACCACTGCTCGTACGGCTATGTGCTGAACCACGTCGCCACAGACCTCACCCACGTCATCTGGTTTGGAGAGGACTGACGGGTATATGTGAGTCCGGCGGTCGTCCATAACACCTTGGAGCTTCATATAAAGCTCCCCATCTGGTACGTAGGTGGCGTCATACACGACAGGCACGAGGACGACGAAATGGCGTCGTATCAGGAGTCCACAACGCAGCGTCTGGTGGGAGCTTTCATGAATGTTGTTGACACGGGGGAGGGGGTAGACGGAGGGCGGATATCGTACGAGAGGCTGAGGAAAGTAGCAGACTGCATGCGCCTTTTGCTGTCTGCCACCATGTGGATCATGCGGATGGCGGGAGATAATCTCCGTTCGCATTATGAGGCGTCCCATCTCGTGGAGCTCATTGCAAAACCGACGCTCATTGCGTCGCTGCATCGCTCATTCGACGCGCGCCGCCATATTCTGCAGTGTGTCAATGCAGTAACGGAGAAAATGGGGAAGCCCCCCATGACGTTGGTCAACCCTCCGGTGTACATCCCCGACTAGGTTTCGTGTGGGGTGTCATTTCACAACGACGCCACGTTGATGTTTCCTGAGCTCGCCAGACGACTAGATTGGTTAGGCACCGGACTTCCGGAGATTGATGATGAAGACGAGGAGAAGGACGAAGGCGGGGAATCGTGACGGCAGGCGCTATGGACGACTACGGAGAAAATGGGGAAGCCACCTGCCGCTGCTGATGATGACGACGATGATGTCGACGACGAGGACGTTCATGATGATGATGATGACGGTGACGACGATGATGACGGTGACGACAACGATGATGATGTAGATGACGTTGATGATGATGCTGACGATCGTGATGCTGACGATCGTGATGCTGACGATCGTGATGATGATGGTGACGATGATGATGGTGATGATGATGATCGTGATGATGATGATAGTGATGATGACGATGATGATGATGATGACGTATTCACGATTAAAGAGGATGATGATGACGACGATGAACCGTAGACTGTCTTCTACTTCCTTTGCGTCAAGTCGTTTCCTGTTGTCAAAGCGGTTGCCGAGTACGGGTGAGAGCTCGGTTTCATCTAGCTGACAGCAAAGTGTAGTCGACATGTGCAGCGGGCCTTCATCTGCCCTGGCCTACAGCCAGGGCCTATTTGGCTATTTGCCAGTTCGGACTGTGGGACCAGGTCGTGGCCTGACCCCACAGGCCGTGTGATGTTTCAGTCTGCCCGGTACCACTGTCGGTACCAGGCCAGTCCAGTCAGTCAGTCCGCTGGGGGTATACCCCAGCTGTAGTCTGTTTTTGATTCATTCTTCATTTGCACAGATTGGAGTACGTGCGTGTTGAGTCTGCGTTGGAGTTGCGTTGTCCCTTCAAGCTCCATCTCCATCTCCTCCATCCTCATCCCTTCGTCTTGATCCTGACGGACCGCCATCCCGGCGGGTCCGTCACACTGGTATCAGAGCAGGCTTTCCCCCCTTCCCCCCCCCCCCCCCCCCCCCCCCTATCAGTTGCCCCGCGGCTTGAGCAAAAAAAAAAAAAAAAACGCTCGCCACTTTTATTTGGTAATGACACCGGTGCACTCTTTCGATCTTAACTTCTGCACCGGTGGTCCAAATTTACTGATTTTTAGCTTGTTGGAAAGCTCTTGACGAGATGCTTCCAGCAAGCTATAGATTGCCTAATTTTGTGTGGTGGTTGAGGAGCTACGATCTTTCAAAGATCGCAATTTTTTTAAAAAGCTAAAAAAAAAACACCTGCGCTCGTTTTTTTCAATGAGCACTATTACTCTAGGCAGTGGCTGATGCTGCGCCTTATCTCGTTGGAAACAGCTTTCAAAACACTTTCCAACAAGACCTCTTTTGCCAAATTTCACCCAGCGGGTGAAAAGTTATTGGCAAAAGAGTTTTTGCCCTCTACATCTCCTCTCTTGACCCGTGGCCATCTCCAAAAGTGYCACGTGGCAGTTTGCTGAGGATTTTTTTTGAAGAYCCCCCWGGCTAGGGGGCTGCACTACAGTGGAACTGGGTGGCTGATCAAGATCTCAGCCAACCCCAGATAATGTGCAGCAGCAGTTCATCACCACCTTGAAGACCCCTTCTCCCAAGGGGTGTGTGAAGGTCAAGATCTTGTGGATCTTGGTGAAGTTGTATGCTCTTGGTTACCCAAGAGTTGGGTATCACCTCGCTCATCCCTAATCCACTCTCCCACTCCCTTTTCCCTCTCTCCCCTTCATCATCTGACCTTCTTTTTCTCTTACCACCACTCATCCATCACCTTTTCTCACTCCTCTCTCCACTTTTCTCATTTCTCTCCTCYTCTCCCCACTAATCTCTCATCCCCTTCACTCTTTCTCAATCCACTACCATATTTTTACTCTCTCCTCTCCCAACCTCACTCTCCTTGCTTCTTTTCCCTACTTCTCTCCTCTCCTTCCCCTTAATCTCTCATACCCTTCCCTCTTCACTCATCTCCCACCATCTTTTTCTCTCCTCTCTCTCCACTCACATTCTTTTACTAATCTCTCACTYTTTTMTTCACCTTTTTCATAGCTTTCTCTCTCATTCTCTCACCCTCCTCTCCTCCTTTCTTCCCCCAACTACAACCCCATCATCTCCCTCACCTACCACTTCAATCTTTTCTCTTTCCCACCTAGGCAAACCAATATCTAACAATGCTGGGATTATGCAACAAGCTCAGTCAAAACTAAAATTGTGGAAAGACAAACACACTTCGCTATTGGGCAGAACACTAGCAATTAATAACGTGGTTCTAGCTTCTATCTGGTACAAATCTGCATTATGGGTCTTGGATAAAGCTAACATTAAGGCGTTTCAACGACAATTAGCGGTCTTCTTATGGTGAGGAAATCATGAATGTGAAAATGTTATCAGTAGGGTGACATGGTTAACCGTAATCCAACCAAAATCCAAAGGAGGTCTTGGCATCAATGCCGCATCATTGATCCTGCTACCCAGGTCATGGCCCTTTCGATTCAATGGTTAAAACGCCTCTTATTTAATCCCCTGACTCCTTGGACTCTCCTGGCTTGTGAGCAAATCAGGAGGTTAGCACCACCCACTTCGGAGGAGGTAGACCCCCTCATGTGGCTAAAAAATCGTTCCTTGTCCCTTCCAAGAGGTTCTCCAGTACAACCTCTTCAGGGGGACCTCTCTGATCGCCAAGCAGACAGAAAAAATCTTTACAGGGATCCCTTTTGGATCACTTTAATGAGAACCTAGAGGAAACTCCCCCTTCCTAATAAGATAGACCCTTAGAGATGGGATGAAGTAAAACAACAACAATTATTTAACAATACATTTATCAGAGACACTCATGGTTGTACTCTTAACTGCACTGACTCGCCGTGGAAAGCGTGATTAAGAAAGGGGTTATTCGCATCAGGGATATTTGGAGTAGTGAGAACAGAGACTGGATTGATTCTTTGGTCCTACAAGGGTGCTTGAGATACTGTTATCATCAAAAGGAAGCCATGTATCAGATAATTGACATCATCCCTTTAGAATGGGTCATAATTCTTAAGAAAGGGCAAAAACTCTTTGCCAATGATTGGGTGACCATCAAGGCACAACAGGGTGTAGTGGAAAACATAATTTAAGTCTTCAATGAAAGGGACATCCTCCTATCTATTCTTGATTTGGAAGCAGATGGTTTCCTTAAGCCTAGGGCACAAGAGCACATTGAGTGGTTCAAGGTGCACCAACTATTTCGGATCAGGGTTTTAAAGATCAAAGATGGCTAGTCTTTAAACCAGATACACTCATTTATCACTTACCTTTTGACCAAGTAAACTGGACCTGGTCTAGATCAGGGGGAAGGGGATGCTCCTGCTCTAGATCGCTTCATAAATTATCAGTCAAATTAACTTACAGGATGCTTCGCCCTAAGGTAAACATAAAGAACCGAATAGAAACCCGTTGGATGAGACATCTAAATGTAAGTAAATAAGAGTTGCAATCAATTAAATGGTTTCTCTTCATTAAATCTCGTCCAACCAAGGTAGTATCTTTGCAGTGACAGATTGTCCATCATTGCCTTCCCACAAATGATTGGATTATAGACAGAATCTCATTAGAACAAAGAGGAATAACTCACCCGTGGTGTAAGTTATGTAAATCGGTCTTCTCTTTCAAACTAATTTCAGAAACATTAGAGCACGTTTTTCTCCAATGCCCGGGATCAGTTTGGCTATGGCGTTGGTGGGACAAAATTTTGAATCAATTGGGAACATCCCTCCCCTGACCCTGGGATTGGAAGGCGCTGCTTTTGGAAGCCTGGAATCCCAATCAGGTTGATGACTTTACATTAATTTGAAATTTGTTCACAGTTGGAAGAAGAACAGTTATTTGGGCAATATGGACACGAAGATGCACCTATGAAATGGAAGGTGCATGCTTGGATGGATCGAAATTTACTGAAACAATTAAGCAATATGTTCAAACAGAGATTACCACCAAATGGGAAAGACTAGAAGAAAAAAATATTGTATCTGACAAAAAAATAAATAAAAAATCCTGCAACATATTATATCATTTAATCGAAATTGGTTTGGGGGGGGACAAGGGAGGGAGGCTAAGGCGGGTGGAATGGGAGGGAGCACAAGAAAATGATCAGGATGGGTTTCAAAGGAATTACCGCTTGATCTTCAATGATTGAATTGAAGTTGACCCCGCTATTCCATTAAGGTCCCTGACGGACTTCCCTGATCCTTTTCCCCCATCAAATTTATGTTTAGTTCCCAGATCATGGTATGGATATGAATGAACCCATAGAGGGTTGATGTAGTGCTAGGGAGACATGTTTTTTCAGGCGCCCTGATGAGGGTGAAGAGGCACAAGTTTCAACACAACAATTTGTTCTTATGGTTCATGTTCAAGGTTTCAAAAGATATATTTATGGGACGCTGGACCCGTTTTCCAGCAGGTGACACTACCCACCAATAGATGGAGCAACTTGTTATGAAAAAAAAAAAAAAAAAAAGGCAACAGGTGTACGTGTATCCACAAAAGAATATCAATAGTCTGTTGCACGGCCTTCACTGTTCGCTAGTTGCCACCTCCTACGCATCTTAACACTAATCCAATACTTGTTGAGCTGAACGAAGCAATCCTCTCTATTCAGAGGACCGGGCCCCAACCAACCACAAAGGAGATCAAACTACCATTTCGTTAAAATGCACATTTTTATTTTTTGAACGAAATTGAAACCGAATTTTTTGGCCGAAAACTCGTCAAAATTTGTTGTTCCTGAGGGTCCAGCGTTTGAAAGCTGGTCTCAAGCTAGGTCCATGTATGGCCAGGGGGTCCAGCGTGGTTAAAACGCTGGACCCTCAGGAACAACAAATTTTGACGAGTTTTCGGCCAAAAAATTCGGTTTCAATTTCGTTCAAAAAATAAAAAATGTTCATTTTGACGAAATGGTCGTTATCAGGTCTTGGGCCCGACCACAAAGGAGATCAGGTTTGAACACTGAACCACCAAAACTTCCAAGTTTCAACCCATTCCTTAGCAATAACGCCAACTGGAAGCTATAGTGAAACTAAGGGGTTGACAATTCAGCAGGCCTAAGAGTGTGATTAGGCAAATGAAACAGAAATAACACATTCTTCAATAGACTGGCATAATAGATTGGTGCTGAAGCTCCTTTCCAGCAACAGCCTGAAGGGGGGTACGACCATCGTTGATTGGTTGTGCAGACTATACATTGCTGCCAAGACTGCTGGAGAAAGAGAGGGTTGGGGGGGGGGGGAAGGAGAGCTACATGGCAACAGAATTGCGCAGCAGACAACAGTCCACTACGAGATTACCAGCGGAACAGTTCGGCCGCTCTGTGTTCTGCGACTGGTGGACATGCTTGGAACTCCTATTTCTGGGCCCAGCTGTGGTCAGTCTGGGACCGGTTTGCATCCTTGGGCCTCTCTGACCACAGCTGGGGCCGAAGGGAGAACTACCGTCTTCACCCAAAGAGAATGTCCAGTCATTATAGCCGTATCTGGATTGAAAATTGCACCAAATACATCTGCTATAATGACCGGCCGTTCTATTTGGGTGAAGA